CCGTCTACCAGTCACACAGTCAGTCTCAGCATCAGTTACAGTTACGACTGAGCTACAGCAGCACGGCAAGCAGCATTAGCAGTGTCCCAGTACATAGCATTAGCAGCAGTCTCCTCAGCTGTATCCCGGCAGCAGCGTTAGCAGCAGAGAAGCCGGACTTGCTCGAATGGTCCGCTGGAAAACCGAAGATCACGGACGCGGCGACGCGGCGCTGCCACGGCAGCCGCCCATGGGCAAACAAATCAGTCTCCAGCGTGCCGCTGTCCAGCAACCTCGAATCTGTAGGGGAGGGGGGGCGGACACGACTCGCGGCAGTATTTTGAATTTGAGTGCAGTAACCGTTTTGGCCACATTCTTACATACAGCGCCTTTAAGTATACTATATGATAAGCACAATATTGATTAATCAGGTAAGGTCACTTTGCATTCTTTGTCATTCACCTCACGAAGGCAGGAGAATCATACAATTTGACGCAAGCGGCAACCTCTGGGGCTGACAAATGAAGAGAACATGGAAGTGCCAAAAACTGCAGTTCATCTGGGAGGACCTTCCTCTATGAGGAACTGCAGTTGAGGCTTGCCCCAAAAGGCCAGTCAGTCCCCATACCCTCCCATGTTAAAATACCTAACCTTACAGCAGAAATAAACATTTTTACAGCCTGGCACAAAAGATGGTTTTGGTCTGGTTTTGGTCTCACGTGCTGGTTCAGTGAACCAGCATAAGCTCTGACAGTCGCTCTAAGAATTTCATCCCGGCACCAAACAGTAGTCAGGGTACCGTTGGCTGTGACATGGAGGTCTGTGCAACCCTCTCCCCAGAACATCACTGAGTCACCACCAAACCAGTCATGTTGGATGATGTCACAGGCAGCATAATGTTCACCATGATGGCTCCAGTTTCTCTTATGCCTGTCACATGTGCTCAGTGTGAACCTGCTCTCATCTGTAAAGAGAACGGGGCACCAATGGTGCACCTGCCTATTCTGAAATTCTCTGGTAAATGCCAATTGAGCTGCATGGTACTTGGCTGTGAGCACAGGTCCCACTAGAGGACAGCGGGCCCCCATGCCACACTCATGGAGTCTGTTTCTTACAGTTTGGTCAGAAACATGCACACCAGTAGCCTGCTGAAGGTCATTTTGTAGGGCTCTGGCAGTGCTCCTCCTGTAACTCCTCACACAAAGGAGCAGATACCGGTCCTGCTGCTAGGTTGATGCCCTTCTACAGCCCTGTCCAGGTCTCCTTGTGTAACACCCAGTCTCCTGGTATCTCTTCCATGCTCCTAAGACTGTGCTCAGAGACAGAGCAAACCTTGCTACGGCATGCATGGATGTGCCATCCTGGAGGAGCTGGACTACCTGTGCAACCTGATTGGAAATGGATTGAATTGAATTGAAATGGACAGATTGACATCCCTGAAATTTAACTGACTTGGTGTTACACTGTCACATTAAGTGTTCCCTTAATTTTTTGAGCAGTGTATAAATAATGGTATGTAGTAAAACACAACTCTGTTGTTGCACTGTAGAATTAGTGCTGTGGAATTGTACTACATATTGAATTTGCGATGTGTGTGTGAGTCTACCACTCACTCTCTCTTTGCTCAGTCTTTTTTAATGAGTGACCCGCCTTCATTTATTTGTGCTGGCTGCTTAAGACTTGGCCATTATTTGAATGCTAACTACTTGAAAGTTTGAGGGGTAGTCATAATAATAGGCTGCAGAATAATGTCTTTGGAGTAAGGGTTTGGCCCATGTGACTAGAGCAGGTCATTGCTAATTTGTGACTGGACCCCTGTGAATACACACTTTGATGTGATTTAAACAAACCAATCTTGACTTTGTTAAGTCATCAGAATTGGAGTCCCAGATTATGATTTGTTTTGCATCTTGTATAACTTCATGCTGTAAAAAAGATGGTCATGAACTCTATCCCTCCCTTGTCCCTCTACAGTGTATTCTGTCTCAGCCTAAGTTTTGGGCTGTAGAAGTCACAGCACTTTGCCTCAGGACCAAACTGGAAAAAGGGAGCTCCCGATGTGTTGAGAGAGCCATGATGCAAACCCAGGTAAGGAGATATGTGTGTGCATGGGGGTGGTGTGGGGTATTTATATATTCATTAAGAATCCTTTCATCAGGAGTACTAAACATGCATGCATGTGATGCAGCAGAGATTCTTAACCACCCCAACCCCACCCCATCAGTCAGTACTGCAGGTTTATTACTAAAATGCAAATAAACAACATAGCTAACCAGAAAAATAAGATAAAAGTTATGTGCTAATTTGCTTTCAGTAACATGTTGTACATGTATTATAATATCCATATAAATCAATAATAAAAAAAAATTATCAAATGAAATTGTTCAGAACAATAAACAATAAAATAATATATCCATCCATATTCTTAACCGCTTATCCTCTCGAGGGTTTTTTATTTATTGGCATTTCCATTTAGATTTTTTTAAGCACAAATTAAAAACGCACACCAAAACAGGCACAATGGAAACACACACACAGTTTCGCAGTTTTTTTCCACACAATTTTGACCCCAGAGATTTTCACCAGTTTGATTTTTCCACCTGAATGTATTTGTCAACATATCCATTTAGTCAGCAAAAGTCATGTTCTTTTATTACAGTTAAGACATTTCTTGCTTTTATAATTCCCTGATGCACACTGTTTAAATCCATTGCAGAATACAATTTGTCACTGCAAACTTTAGCTTTATTCATGGTGTGTGCTGTAAATTACATCCAGCAATAGTCTTATCTACCTGTGTGGATGTTTTAGTTAAAACAGCTGCAGAGCTTGACCTGACTTGTGGTACCATTGAGATATGGAGTAATGTTGTTTTGTCTTTTGTAACAACCCTGAGCATAAACAAAACCATTAATCCACCACAGCTCCAAATGTTACTTTGGATATTGACCAATAACAGCTTTGAGAGGCTTAATACAGATGTCATTATGGGACCGTGAAAAAGCCGGTAAAGAAATTATAAGACTTGAACACCTGGATGGAAGATGACAGTCACTGTGCACATGCTGAAAGGAAAATAAAACATGGATTGTTCTTTCTTTACTTGAGGCTAGACAGATGGGCAGGCTGACTGACTGACTGACTGACTTGCTTACTTTCTTTCCTACTTTATTGTCCACTTGAGTGGGGATTTATCTTTGGCTTTTTCCCAAGTATAGCAAAGGTACATAACACAACATTTAGACTGAGAGTAAAATCGTAAGCACTTATGCCTCAGCGCCTGTGATAGTTGTGGCTGGAGGCAATATGTTTTCGATACCGACACCAATCCGATACCTTTCTTTTCTCCTCTCTTAAATTGTTAATAATACATTTGTATGGATGTACTTTTCTTAATATACACATAAAAAACACCATGTTCAAACTGTGCAACAAATATTCTTCTCCCCTAAAGGAAGAAATAAGTTATGCAGTGCTGTTGCTGCTGCTTTTTATTTAACCTTAAAACCCTCATGGCTTTTAATAGCATTTTTGATTGGTCAACAGCACCATTCAAACATTCAAAATACAATTTAAGATTAAACTTTGTGCAAAAGTTTAAATCTAAGTATTATAACAAATGAAAAAGGAATTATAATTCCAGTGTAAAATGAGATACCTCACACTCAGTGTAGCCTATACCTCACTGACACAGCAAAATAACAAGTTGCAGTGTCGACCATAGCCTAAATAATTATAACTTAACATAAAAAAATAGCATCTCCACTAGAAAATGTACATGTATGTTAGACATGCCCTCTTAAGGCACTCACAACAGAAACTCTAGGCTAATACTGCACCTGATATCAAATTAGATGCATTGAAAAAACTAAGGGTAGAAAGTGGAAAACTCTAATGTTTCTTCTTTCACATGTAACCTCTGGGGATGAACAGTATGTAAAACACCCATATCAAACTAGATATTAGAATGGACACAATTACAATATTCACTCAATTCTAATGTTTCAATGAAGACAATAAGACATAGTAGCTGCCTGACCTTAAAACTGTCACAACCACTTACTTTTACTGTCCTTACGCATTTGACATAAATTTGGTCCCTCCCACACGAGAGGCAGGTTCTTCTTCAGAAAGATTAACATTTCAGCCTTCTCAGCTGTCAGTCTGCTCCTCCTTTCATCGAAAATAATGGAGGCTGTGCTAAAGAGCCTCTCGCTCTCCACACTTGTTGAAAGTGCACAGAGAAATGTAGTTGCTGTGACTGCCAAGGAAGACAGTCTAGGTTGGTTGATCTTCCAGTACAGCAGTGGATTGTCCGAACGCAGAATAGTTGGCATGCTGAGGTAGGTTTGCACTTCAACACGTACACTTGTGGTGGTTGACTCAGGACCAGGTGCGCTTTCCTCCAGGATTTCATCAAAAATGCTTCCAAGTTCGCTCTTGCTTGTAGCCTCTACCCATGGAGTCATTTTTGTTGGCTCTAAGGTGGATGAGGTCCCCTCTGCTGGCCATGTTTTCTCGACTGAGAATGCATTTAAGAACACTCACAATGGGAATGGCATCATATGCAGATGAAGATGAAGAACTCACCTCTCTTGTCAACTCCTCAAAAAGGGCTAGAGCTGCAGCAGTCTTTTCCAGTAGCACCCACTGATTTGAGGTCATTGTGACTGGCAGGTCGTACACTGCTGTGTATACAAACAGGGCTCTTTTCTGTGCAATGAGGCTCTGAGCACAACCTCGTTCGTACATCTTGCTGCAGATGCTTGGGTGGCATATACAGCTCCACTTGAATGTCCTCCAAGCGTGAATACGCAAGTGGCGAGTGCTTAAAGTGACCCACAATTTTTCTAGAGAAAGCCACCACATCACTTACACTACGCTGTGGCAGCAGTCCCTCAACTCCAAGACAATCCATTGCTTTTATCACGTTACTGGCATTGTCTTGTAAAATGACATGGACTTTGCTCTTCTCAATTTTCCATGCATTTAGCATCTCCTTGATTGCTGTGGCAATTGACTCTCCTGTGTGTGAGCCATGAAGTTGCTTAGCCTGCAGCACTGCTTTTTGCAGCATAAAACTTGAGTCTTACCACTGTGCTGTCAAATTTAGTAAGGACATTGGACACACGTCTGAGCTCCAGATGTCAGTTGTTAAACTAACTGGCAATGCTTCTCAAACATTTCGAAACGAAGTTGCACACTTTTTTGTACTTTAGTGGGATGGCCATATCAAAGATGAAATGTTGATTTGGCAACTGATAGCGAGGCTCCAAATGTTCCACCAAACGTCCAAAACCTACATTTTCAACAACAGAAATCGGCTGTTCATCCAGCTAAACGAGGTTGATGAGTTTCTCTGTTATTATCTTTGTTTTGTTGCTCCCTGGAGGGAGTTTCTCATGCTTCCGCATTGTTTCCTGCAGTGGCTGTTGTCACAGCTCACTTTTCTTCTTAGCACTGGTTGACTGTAAAAAGTCTTCATCCTCCTTTCCATGATGCTTCCACAAATGTTTTATCAACTTTGTGGTATTGAAATGTCCGGTGCTGCTGCCGCCCCTAGAGACACTCACGTTGCACTCGGCCGTTTTACTTTTCTCTTCTTTGCACCTAAAATAACTCCACACAGCCAACAGAACAGCAACGCAAGGCTATTTGCCTGCCACACACGTTCCAGCTACTGTTTATGCATCACGTGCTGCCGCAACTGCATGACTGTTTACGGCATGTCGTGTTAAGTTAAGTATTTATATGATAGTTTGGGCTTATGGATCGGATCAAATTTTTTCCAGTGTCTTCCCTATCACCATCACTTTGCATGGCTTTAACACAGCTTTTTTCAGTCTGAACGCTCCCTTAGTTGCCAGAATTTCTTGACATTTCCCTCTAGAGTATTGTACACTTCAGTCTCTATATTTTATATTTAACTGAGATGATTTATTTTGTATTTAATCTGCTGAAAACAGATTTTTGAAACTCATCTTATTACTTATTTTAACTCAACATATATTGAAAAAATTGGTATATTACTTGAATTAATTTTCTGTTGTAGGGTTTTTTTTAGTTTATGTTTCTTGTCTCTTCATACTTAGAGTGTATGTTATGCAGCAGTGCCTGACTGTGGCAGAAACTCTTTAACTTAGATTTTAACTGAGTTCTGTAGCATAGGTTTATCCCCAGATGACCAAAGTATAAGTTGTGCGCCGGAGAATGAACACAATTTTACACCATCACTTTTGATTCATTCATCAATAAAATCTCTATGTTTTTAACCCAAAATATTATTAGGTCAAACAAAATTCAAAGCCAAGACACGATTTGAAAATCAAATGTTCTTTTACTAAAAAATAAATCAAAAGAGGACTCATGATACATGTCTCAGTTCAATTCATTTCAGTTCAGGGTGTGTGAGCGTGCATGAGTGTGTGTGTATATGGCTGCAGTTCAATCTAGTTCACTTCAGTGTGAGTGTGTGTTTGTGTATGTGTATTGGTGAATTTAAGACTCTAATGATGAAGGAGGAATAATATAATTGACCTTTTGCTAAGCCCCGCCCTTTTGTGATCGTCTGACAAGTTGTCGCATTAAGCATGGAGCCCACACAGTAAGTAGCTGCACTCCCTGAAGAAATATTATCATATTTTTCAACAAATGAAATAGTGATTTCAGAGAGGAGCAGACAGAGGGGTCTACAAAATGCACTTCAAGGATATATCCAGGATGTCAAACTCACTCAGCAGCAAAAACAAGTTTAAAAGACAAAGATAGTTAGTAGCTAAAGTTGAATTATAGACTGCAGATCACAGTGTAAAAGTGAACCACCACGTCACTGGTGATCAAGACAGAAGACAATGAATATAAAGGGAAACTTTACTGATACTGAACCAGCTGTGTGGCATCGCAGTATGTGCAAATAAATGGTGTTTGGTTTAGCCCTCGTGCTGCTTCCAGCACTCAGACCTCCACCGCCCAACGGGCAGGGATGTCAAACAACACTCATCTGCACACAATGCAATGACACACAGCTGGTTGAATATCAGCAAAGTTTCCTTGCTTACCTTCACTGGTTCCTGTACAGCAGGGTAGGTCTTTTTTCAGTGTTAGAATCATTAAAAAGCAAAAGCAGTATATGTATACATTCTGTAGGCTATATCTTCTGGAGCTAGCTAGCTAGCTAACCTTACACTTTTAGGGGTTTGATTTTGGTTTTTGTAACAGGGAAGAAACGTTTATCTTTTTCCAACCTCTTGCAGTAGTGAGTATCATATTACAGGATTTGCCCCAGACACAACATTTTGCTCAAAATCCACAAAACCAACCTGAAAATGAAGGAAATCTGACACGACTGCATTAGAGTTGATGTCTCATCCAGGTCTGTGCTGGCCTGATGCTACATTATGATTGGCCAGTCTGCATCCTGGGGCTGGACTTAGGGAAGGGTCCATTGGGGCAAAGAGTAATATATATTACTTAGAAAGGAAGCCTGAAGAGGGTAGTGACAGGAGAGTTATCTTAATGGCCAGAGGTGCACCCAAAAACAGATTTAAGAAGTTGATGAACAGGAGTCCCTTCATCCCATCTGCTCCAGAGATCCACACACTTTCAGTAGCCTTGGTGTCCAGAAAAGTTCACACAATCCAGTCGGTTCTGGTATCAGCTGCCGCTTGCTTTACTTTTGACTTTACTTGTTATGCCTCCGCACAAGCAATGCCCGTGGCTGGAGGCATTATTTTTTCCGGTTGTCTGTTCATCTGCCTGTCTGTCCGTATGTACATCCCTCCCATTCTTGTGAATATTATGTCTCCAGGAGGTTTTTCTTCACATTTGGCACAATCATTCATTTGGACTCATCAATAAACTGATCAGAATTTGGCGGTCAAAGATCAAGATGAGTGTGACCTTGCATCTGTCTCATTCTCGTAAATACAATATCTCAAGAAGGCCTTGGGGGAGTTTCTTCTAATTCGGAAAAGTCGTCTTCACTTGGACTCAAGAATGAACTGTTTAGAATTTGGTGGTCAAAGCTCAAGGTGACTTTGACCTCACCAAACATGTCTTGGCTATAACTCAAGAATTCACTTGTTAATTATGACCAAATTTAACACAAAAGTTTAGTAGGATATAATGATAAAGTGATGACTTTTTTTTCAAAAGGTCAAGGTCAGTTTCACTGTGACATCATAATGTCGTGCATAAAACACTTTTCTGGCCATTATTCATTGACTAACTCAGGAGCAGAAGGGGAGACATTTGGTCAGATACTAAATTTGGTCGATTGTATAGATCTTCTGTGTTGCTGGGGGGAAGATGTGTGTAAATCATCTATGTTTTCACAGACATGGATATAAACTGAAAGAGAAGCTTGACTGGTTCCTGGAGGCATACAACTGCAAGGCAGTAATTCTAGTTTCCTATATGGTTTTAGAGCAAAGATATCCAGAAACTGAAGCGAACTTCAGCACATTCACTCCCCTCTGTTCTTCATGCTGCTTTTATTAGTTGGTTTCCTTTCCCCCAGCTCACAGGTGTGACTCATTTAACTCCTCTCACTCCCCACCTTCCTTTTCTGTCAGGGTTGTAAAGGGCTGTTCTGCCCTTTTCTCTTTTTTTCTCCTTTTCTGCAACAAACTCTATGTGGACTAATTAACGAACAAGTAACAGACCCAGCTGCAGAATGTCATCTTCTCCTTTATTTTTCCAGGTGATAGTAGACCACTTTGAAGACAAGAACTGTCCTGTGACTGAGAGGCTCAAGGGGTTCTACTTCTGCCAAGCTCCAACCAGATGGAATGTCCAGGTAGTGAGCTTTTTTTTTTTCAAAAACACACTGAATGCTTGATTTTAATAAACCAAGAGACGGTGTACTCAGTGACAAGGTTCAGTTCACTTTTCTGTGAATATGTAGTCATTTGAAGTGGTGGAATAAATTTCTCAAGAGGGGATGCGGGGTCTGCATTATATAAACAGACCATATACCACTATATCCACTGTGGCAAGTGCAAATGAAAGATTGTTGGTGAAAGTGGTGAGCTTGCTAGCAACACTAATAACAATAGATTATGTAGAGGCGTACCTCGACAAATTAGCTGTCTCTAAATGAAGCTGTTGTTAAACAAGCTTAAATTTGAACAACCAAACAATATCACTCTGGCTTCAACCACTGTATTAAGTGTTGGTTGGTCTATATTGTCTATCCAGCCAATTCTCACCGATGGAAGATGGATATGATGGATAAGTATTACATGGCTATATAGAGCTAGTTTGCCCTTGTATCACAAGTAGACATCCATAATGATATTTTTGCTGCCACACAGTGGCTCTTCATTTCCTGAATGGATCATTTTTTAATGGCACCTATGACCCCACAAAATAAGGTAGTTAGCTAGTGCTATGCTAGCTCTTAGATGTAGAGGTAAGGCTAGGTTACTGTTGTCAGTAATAAGCTAGTTAGCCAGCATGCTAATGTTAGTGGCTAGATCAACTTAGTATATTGTTTAATTTATCTTTTATGCTTTGGCTGATGTTATGTTATTTTGTCTTTCAGAAGACAGTAAAAAATACAAAGTTTTTTAATTCTTAAGATACAGAGTATCTCTCTAACAACCGCTCTTGTTGGGAAGAAATCCAAAGCTAAGGAGACCTGCTGTGAGTAGTTTTAGTTTCCAAGCTTTGATTGGACAGTCACTGTTGGGTCAATTATAGTCACAGTCTGAATTGCTGTCAGCTAGAAAATGTTAACTTTCAGTTCTTAGTATGATCCTAAGAATTGCTCTTTGTGCAAAGGTGACAACTCTAAAGCAACAGGGGAAAATGTATAGTGTAGATGATATATATAGCTATATAAAGGTCTCATAGGAGCTGTAGAAAACTGCGCTTATGACATTTTGTGACATATTTCCTGAACCACAAAGCATTAGATCTTCAAAGGCAAACATTAGACAGTAACAGAGCTGAGGATAGGAGTCAGAATGAAATAGAAAGAGCAGTGAGCAGAATAAGCGGTAATAGAAAGATTTAGACTTGTCCAAGAGATTGGAGGAGGAGTGTTGGCGAGATCAGCTGGGGGAGGGGACATCGCCCAGGTGCCATGTAATAACTGATAACAGCAATAAAGCTGAAATTGAAGAGTCCCTATTGCTGCCTGAGGACTTGAAAGTAGGTTGAGGCAGATGATTGTAGCAGGTACTGTGATGCTTTTTCTCGACACTGGAGAACCATGGCCTGCATGTGACAAAGCACTGAAGGCCTAGTTATGATTGGGGGTGGGGTTCTGTTTTTCTGTGTGTGTGTTGTACTTTATTTTAATTTGAAGAAAATAACTTTTACACATTTAGACTGAAGGATTTTTTATTCTTTACATACAGTTGGTTTTATACATTTCAGGCATCTAACTACACATTACATAGTGAAGTATATTACATCACTGCTGACCAGGCAGCCATTGGTTTACATTCATTTCAGTGGTATAAAGAACAACTTTCAAATATACACTCATGTAGGGAAGTAATCATTTCATATAGTCATTATTTTTAGACACTAGCGATGTGGCTTCAGGAATATCAAGGTTGGTTTGTCGGTTGGTCAGTCCACTGCTCTCGTCCAGACCAAAATACCTCAACAAATATAGGATGGATTGCAAAGAAATTTTGTAGAGACTTTCAAATGTCCCACTGAGTTTGGTGATCCCCTAACTTTTTTCTAGCGCCACCAGCAGGTTGACATTTGAGTGAAATACCTCAACAACTATCAGATGGATTGCTGTGAAATTTGGTTCAGACATTCATGCCCCATTTATGATGAATTATAATATATTTGGATAACAATGGTTTATGTCCACATACCTGCATAACAAGTAATATTTCCATCACTCCCAGCTGTGGTTTGTGTTTAGTGCTTGTTAGCAAATGTTAGCATGCTTACATGCTAAACTAAGATGGCAAACATGGTGAACAATATACCCAATAAACATGATCATGTTAGCATTTTCACTCTATGCATGTTAGCATGTTGACAACATTGCAAAGTGATTAGAATGGTTGTAGCCGCTCATTCTTCTCTCCTCCTCTACAGAAACAGCTGGCCAGCCTGCTGATGGACCTCGGCTGCAACAGTTCAGCTCTGCTTCTTTATGAGAAGCTGGAGCTCTGGGAGGATGCAGTTATCTGCCATGAGAGGCTGGGCCAACATGGCAAGGTACACACAACACACACACACACACACACACACACACACACACGCACAAACATACCTTTACCATTTTTATGTTTAAAACTAGAGACCATCTTGCAGTGGGATTACTCCAGCCGCAATACAGCCATCCACAACTTACAACTGATAGCCCTTTTGACTGCCAGAATCGTGCCCCTCAAACTGGGTATTTTAAGCCAAAACATGATCTTTTCCTTATCAAAACCAAGTATAACCAATGTTAACCACAGTTTTGTTGAAATTATGTTTCAACATATCTGCTAATTTATAAAGTGCAAAGGTAACATATTGGTGGTTTGCAGAAACATTCAATGCCAACATTTCTTTCTGCAATGGGGTTGCAACCACACATGATAAAAAAAATTAAAAAACATATAGGAGTATAAAGGGTGAATACATGAAGAACAAAAAGAAGAAAAAAGAATGAAAAAAGAGAAACGGGCATGGTTAGAGGTGTGCTGATGCTGTCTGTATTTTACAGAGATGAGGGCTGGCATGGCAGAGGCATGATGGAGAATTAATATCTGTTAGTTTTGACTGATGGTTGTCTGAGGCAGGATCCAGAGGGTACAAAGTTGAATTCTAAGTGCAGGGGATGGATACTGTCAGAAATGATGGATTTAGCTTTCTTTAACAGCTGTTTGCTGTAGTTCAGACAGGCATTGCTGCTGAATACCAATGATTTTGGCTGCTGACTTTCATCACCCTTGTTAATGGGTTTTTCTGTTTGAGGTTAAGAGATGCATATCAGCAAGTTAAAGCAAAAGTGAAAACTAGATTGAAAGGATTTATAATATAGGGATGTTTGAAAAAACACTTGTGCTTTTAAGGGTTAAAGTCCTTGCATTTCTGCCTGAATGGCTGTTTACTGTTACTGACCTCATCAGCTCTGAGTCCAATTTGAGTGCTTTGGGGTGTGAAGGAGGAATTCTGAAAAGGTTTTCAAGTTTAACGTTAGTATTCATGAAGAAAATGAATTTGGTCCGTGGCCCAAAAGAGTTTCCCACAAAAACAGTACATCTACAGAAACGGTACAAAAATGGTGTTATCCACAGGTGATCAAAAACCTTATGTTCCCTGCTCAAGCAACCTCACACACACACACACAGGAAGGATTCCAGAAAATTAGTGCAAAAACCCGAAACATAATGTGAATAAATTACATATGACATGAGTGTGACCTGAGACAGTTATAAGCAAAGCCAAATGACACATGGCACAGATTTAGTGCTGGTAAACACAACTGCAACAGGAACAATAGATTGTTTATAATTTCATGGTTTTTATTTTGCATTCTTCTCTTCTCCCATTCACGGACCAGAGAGAAAAACATTTTTTTAAGTGTGTTTTCAGCTCTCAGTACTTTTATATCTTCTTACAGAATCTCTGATGTTTCAAGTTTAGTTTCTCTCCTGTGTCCTGTTTTTACTTTAGATATCTGCTTTATTTTAATGTTTTGTGTTCACTTTAAGCTATATAGGAGTCGTGTTAAGTTACTGCTTATGAAAACTTAATGTTTTTGTATTTTGCTGTTTCACAATAAAAGCTTCTACATGTCAAAGTAACACAGGTCTTTTATTGTAAAGAATCTGTGGGAAACAAAATGTGTTTATCACCAAATTAGCACAACTTCTTCAGTCTCTAATACAAACAAGCCAGGGAAGAAGAATCCAAGCAGAAACAGCCATAATGAGGTGTTGGATGAAGAGCTGCAGACAACAGGCTCTTACTGCACCTCTGCAAACAGCTCACCTCCAACAACGGGTAAACTTCTTTTACCTGCCCTGCTATATGATGGAAAAACACATGCAGAAAAATAATGAGGGACTTAAGCCGTGGATCAGCTTGCTGTTTTTAAACGTCATTGACTCAAGACAAGCCATTATCAGTTAAAGACACACCTTCAAGCAGGGAGCACTGTTGTAATGGAGATGCAAATCCTTGCCGCGCTGGGCTGACGGAGCAGAGTCAAACCAAACCAAACCAAACCAAGCCAGAACATGAGTGTTGAAAAATCATATCAGTGGCCCAATTTAGCTGGGACACACTGATATACCTGCACGTCAATGCAAATAGATAATCAGCCAATGTATAAAGGTATGCAGACATGGTTAAGGGTTCAGATCAAACATCAGATGTGGTCTGATCTGTGTCACCATGGTTGGTGCCAGATGGGGTAGTTTGTCTCAGAAATGGCTGATCTCCTGAGATTTTTACGCACAGCAGAGTTTGCAGAGTTTTGCAAAAAACATAAAATGAGCAGCAGTTCTTCAGTTTCAAAGGTCTAGTTCAGCTGCATTCACACCAAATTTGGCATTGTGGTAGAACACCTCTCCTTGCATTCATTTCAATGTAAGTAGTGTGTCTAGGCTGGGGTGGAGGACCTGCAGGGGGTAGGCGGAAAAAGAACGCAGTGGCCTACAACAAAAAGTTGAAACAGATTCAACTTTTGGAGAAAGCAACTCAAATTTATGTTGAAGTGGCCAATTGGTAACCCGTGATCAGACCGGCAAGACACCCACAGTCCACAGTTACAAGTAATGAAGTCTCTTTCTATCAAAAAATATTATAGTGAATAAAATAAACAAATTAGGTATAAACAGCTTGTGTGTACTGTCCTACAAAGGAGAGCACCCACTTTGCGTTTGTGTACTTGCACATGTATATTTTATTGCACTAAAGATGCTACAATAATGATAGTTCAAGGAATTCTTCATAAGCCAACATAAACTCACTGAAATCAAATACTCAGTTGCTGAGATGGGCACACTGGCCTTCTATAGTTGGTCCTCACCCTCCACTCTCCCACAGATGGGCCTTTTAAGTGACTCTCCCACACACTGCGGCTAATTGCTGCAACACCTGATTTGGTGTGAATGCAGTTTACACCTCACTGGAGACGTACAAAGTAACAGCTTGCTTGAAGACCCCCACCATCATCCCTTTCCCCCAAAAAACAAGGACTACAGGATTTAACAACTACAGACCCATCACCCTGACCTCCTTGTCCTCCTGGTCTTGAAGTCAAGCACCCTGTAATGTCTTACCTCCAAACAATTACCGGCCCACCCCTGGACCCCCTGCAGTTCATCTACAGAGCAAGCAGGTCTATAGATGGTGCAGTCAGCATGGGCCTCCATTTCATCCTCCAGCAACTGACCTCCTCAGGAACCTAAGCCAAGGTCCTGTTTGTGGACTTGAGTGTTGCCTTTAACAGCATCATCTGTTGCAGGACAAGCTCTTTCAGTTGAGTGTGCCACACTGAATTCCTGTCTGACAAGAAGCATCATGTGAAGCTGGGGAAACACATCTCTGACTCCCAGACCATCAGCACTGATTCCCCTCAAAGCTCAGTCCTTTCTCCTTTACTCCTGAAGTTCACTAATGATACCACCATTACAGGGTTCTTAAATTAGGATAAGTCCCCCTACAGGTAGGAGAGGAACCATCTGGTGACCTGGATGGACTGAACAACAGCTGACTGCTCTAAAAACAGTGGAGATGGTTGTGGATTTTAGGATGAACGCAGCCCCACCTACCCCTGTCACTTTTGTGACTAACCAGTTGACACTGTGGAGTCCTTGGGCACCACCATCATCCATTACCTTATGTAGGAGCTAAACATCAGCGCCCTTGTCACACAGAAGTTCAACCTGCTAAAGACAGTGATGGTGCACTTCTACACCACCATTACTGAGTCCATCCTCACCTCCTACATCACCATCTAGCACGCTGCTGCCACTGCCAAGGACAAGGACAGAATGCAGGTTATAATTCACCCTGCAGAGAACGTGATTGGCTGTAATCTGACATCCCTCTAAGACCTGTACACCGCCAGGACCTCAGGAGAGCAGGAAAGATTGTGGCTGACCCTTTCCAACCTGGACACAGAAAACAGTTTCTTCCCATCTGCAGCTGCCTCATCAGCAAGACCCAGGACCCCCCTCACAGACTGAACTCACCCTATAGATACTATACATAACATTAACGTCAAGTTTCCACATCTATCAAAATGTATTACATTTTCTGTACTTTATACTGTGAACTTTTTTGTTTTGAACTATATTTGCACCTGCAAAACACTGTGTAGCTCATTGATTTTGAAGCAGGTTTATTTTGCGTTTTTACAGTATTTCTTTTCATATTTTATTTTTAATTTTAGAATGTTTTCTATTCTATTTTTGACTCTGCTTGACTTTACAATACCTGATTTTTATTTTTATTTTCTCTTAAACCAAGACACCGAGGCAAAGTCCCTGTCAAAATCCTGATTTATTCTGTTTTCACTTCATAGCCAACACTGCTCCAGTTTTCCACCTCTCCACTCCATCATTCATTTGTTTCTTTGCTGTTTTCTCTCCTCTTCCACCACTTTTACCTTCCCTCTCCTTTCCAATCCATTTGCTCAGGCTGAGGAAATCGTTCGCCGCGAGTTGGAGAAGAAGGAGACGCCCAGTCTGTACTGCCTCCTGGGAGACATATTGAGGGACCATCAGTACTATGACCGAGCATGGGAGCTTTCGGGCCAACGCAGTGCCAGAGCCATGCGCTCCAAAGCCCTGCTGCACCTTCGCAACAAGGAGTTCCAGCAGTGCGTGGACTGCTTTGAGCACTCAGTCAAAATCAACACTATGCAGGTACAAGCAATGCAGTCCTCTTAGGATGCATTAAGTGACCAGTGTTGTGCAAGTTACTTAAAATTAGTCATTAGTTAGAATTACCAGTTACTTTTCTCAAATGTAATTGAATGACATTGCCACTTAATGCATATGAAAATAATTAGTTACTAGGGACAGTGACTTTTGTGTTACTTTAACATTTCTGTTTAGATTCTCTTATTAATGAACAGACATTATTTTAGTGTTGATATGACAAAGTGTGGGACAAGACAACTGTCAGTTTTCATTATTTTATAATTGTACCCATTATCACTGTGATGAAGAGAAAGTAACAAAACAATAAAACATAGTATGTTTTGATAGGCTTATTTATTTTAGCCTTGTCAGCCTTTTAATGAAAGTCAAATTGCCTGGACTGTCGGCCACTGTGTGCAATGACAGTCTAATTGGGTGATAACAGGGAATATGCTACATTTATCTGCTATGATCAAGACAAAAGTTACAAGAAACATGCCCATTAAACTTCCAGTATCTGTAATGGCATTATTTTGTTTGAAAAAGTAATTAGTTACTTTTCCAGTTACCACCAGAAGTAGTGGCATAATGGTAACATGTAACTCCCAACAGAGGAAGTGACTCTGTTGAATTGAAGTTAATTTGAGCTTGTTAGCATGCTGACAGTAGGATTTTGTCAAAGCAGTCTCAAGTAGAGCCTAACAGAGCTGATAGCATTGCTGTGAGCTCTTGGCAGCTGAAATACATGGGACATGGATGCAACATGCTATGAAAGCGGGGCAGAGCAGGGATTTTTACCTGCCTCACAGACTCTATCTCTGTAGCGTGTGTTTGCTGCCAGCCTCTGTGTGCGTATTGAGTTTTTACAAGTGATAATGCAGCTGGTTGTGCAGGCTTTGGAGGTGTCCATTATATTTACTGGTACTGAATTCATTAACTGGATCGTTTAAACTACAGCATCACAAATGCATTCATTGATTATTTTTCATGTAAAGACTCCCACTGTGTTGCTCTGCCGTGTCATATTCTCTCTGTTAAAGAGAAATATTTATTTTAAACAGAATGTTCTTGTTTTTTTTTACAGCTCTTTGTAGTTTTTATCAGTTGTATTGCCACATAGCAGCAGTGCATTGAGAAAAAGTTAGACCAGCCAGGTAAAAATAGAGATGAGCAGCACAATGCTCATGCAAGTGATCGCAGCTTCTGTGGTCAGTGTAGCAGCCTCAGTTCATTATAATAGACTCGTTTGAGATGAACTGCACCTCATCTGGAAAATGAATGAGATCAAGTTGCAGCAGCAGGGGGTGGTGACAGAAAACAGCAGTCAAGTTGGATAGTTTCTCGACAGTTTCCAGCAGCCTTCAGTCACAGAAATACTCACATCCTGTTGGATTTAATTCCAATTTATTAAAATTTTGTCAGAACCCTATATCAGCTTATTCTTCAATGGGATTTATACTTCTGCATTGAATTGATGCTGTACCTACGACCTAGGCTCTGTATTGATGCAGAGCCTATGCTCTAACATATGTGGTAGCCTGAAGTGCACCTCCCCAAAAATGTAATTACATGGGGCAACGCAGACTGCAGTCTTTTTGTGGTAAGTTGAAAACCATTCCCCTCAGTAAAAACTAATACTTACTTTAATGTCAAAGATTAGAAACAATAAATTGTTAAGACAATAAAGCCCCCACAAAAAAGCATTTTAAGTCATATGAGCAGAGGAAATCTCCACTAGTCGCTAGGCTAATTTGTACAATTTAAAATGCCATAGGCTTGTGCTAATAATGTTAGCATGTTGTAATTATTTGGAAAGCATGTTTAATGTAAGACAGTTGTTTTGTCAGTGGACCTTGTGAGCTGTAGTGGAACTGAGTTTGTAATGTTACCTTTGTTGAATGTTGCTGTTGTTACTGACTTCATATGAGTAGAGGAAAATTACGCCAGCCACTAAGCTAATTTATACCATTTAAAAAGCCATAGACTCGTGCTACTAACAGTAGCATGTTGTATTTGTGGGGAAAATGTGTCCAGCAAAAGACAAGTGCTTTGTCTGTGAATCCTGTAAGTTATAGTGAAGCCAAGTTGTGTATTTGTAATTGAAATTGTCCCTATCAAGCCATGTTTAATGTGTGTTTTGGGGGTGTTTTGACTCAGCTGAACTTTACAGCACTCAAAGAAACCCCACAGCCAACTAGTGTTTTCGCTACAGGACGACATAGAATAGAATAGAATAGAATAGAAAGCCTTTATTGTCATTGCACGGGAACAAAGGGATGCTACATATACAATAAAATTGCGGGGGCTACTTCTAAGGTGCAGATAAGAAATACAGATAACTAATTGCATTTGCATAGCAAGCAACATTTATGCAACAGGATTGTTGCGTAACACAAGACAATAAATAACACACAATATAAAATAAGTAGCGCACAATGTAAAATATGTAGCATAAATGCTAAGTGACAGGTGAGGATTTTATCCATATGCATAGTTGTGTGGATTTACAGAGACCACAGACACTACAGCACAAGTATAAACGCTCACAATGGCGTAGGCCATGTGCGTAGGCTGTGGCGTACACTCTGCACAGAGCTGACACACAAGTATAAATCTGCCTTAAGTCTCCAAGTGTTTTAATTATGTAGGAGTAGCCTGTTAAAATGCATCACCAGCTGTCTGTAATTTCTGTTCATAGTTCAACTTTAATTTCATATCAGTTTGCCGCTGTATATAAATCAGCTGAGCAAACCTGTCACCCTCAAACTACAGAAATAAATTAAAAACATCAATAGTCAAACCTAGAGGAAGGAAAAACAAGACAACAGTTTTCATTAAACAGCTGTCAGATATAGTCAGGGCTTCACATCTGTTCAGATGTTATTTTAAGAATCCTCACATCCCACTTCCACAAATCATGGTGTTGCTATACACTTAAAAAGCATGATGATTAAAACAGTCCAGTATGTTTCTCTTGTTCTGCCAATGCTGCTCTGACAGTTCATGTGCGTACAGTATTACATCTTGGAGACACATTGTGTTAATTTTGAGGACGTGCACTGTCATCACTCCAGACAGACACAGGATTTAAATAATCCCTGACTTTTGCTAGCAAACAGCTTTTAGAGTGTCTTTTTGAAATATCTCTGCATATAGATAATACATGGATTCATTTGTATTGTTTCACCCTATTTGTGTCATGTGTGTCCCTGCGTGTGTGTGTGGACAGCTCGGCGTGTGGTTTTCCCTCGGCTGTGCCTACTTTGCCCTGGAGGGCTATGAGGGAGCTGCCAAGGCTTTCCAGAGGTGTGTGGGACTAGAGCCAGATGTAAGTACCTACACACACGCAAAATGTCACTGACTACATCATAATGTGGAAAAGTACAAGTTTGTGCATGGAGAGAATAACAATCCCACCAGTCTCTCACTGTAACTCCTCTTCCTTCGTTCACAGTCCTTGTCTAGAACACACACGCACACACACGCACACACACACCACACAGCAGAATTTGCAACACCAATGCTCTTTCTTCACACCAGCCCTGCACCTTTTGACAGCCTTTGTGCATAATTGTGTATTTTAAAAACTGCATTTTCTAGTATGTTCCATACTATTATTATTTATTAATATTCTCTACCCTTCTTACTATTTCCTTTCCTTTTTCAATTTCTTACCCCCTCCTCTTTTCAGAATGCAGAAGCGTGGAACAACCTCTCTACAGCCTATATTCGCCTCCAGAAGAAGTGAGTAAGAGTATGAATATGAAAGCTGTAAGAGCAGCCTGTGTTAAGGTATTTGCATTGGTAGTACTCGGTACTGTTTTGCCCAGAGACAGCCTACATAGTATGTGGCATTGACCCAAAGAGGTGCTGAAAACAGTCTCTTAAAAAAATCTTGAATTGGGGTGTCGATAGCGTAGTGGATAGTGCCGGCGCCCCATATACAGA